TGGCGGACGGAGGGGGTGTTTATTTAAAGGAAAATGTGGGTAACCCTGAAAATAGCCTCTTGCAAATGAAAACAGAACTATGAATACAACGTAGGGTTCTTCCCTGGCGCTCGAGCCCTAAACACAGCAGTGACTTTTGCGCTTTGCGTGCTCCGTTTAAGTGACGGCGCCTAGGATCACGTGCTCCAAAAACACCGTGAGGGCACTGAGTTTTCTCCCAGATGAGGCCAGATCCGTACTTGGCGCCACCGCAGAGAGCCAGCAGACGGATCCCGGGCTTGGTAAGCCTTCGCAAGCATCTTACGGTGGTGTTTACCACCCCCCTTACCTAGTCCCTTCCCACCATTGCCACGACCAGACCTAACGCCTAAGCAAAACGACATACCTAAAGAAAATCAAAAGCGGAAAGAAGACTGGCCTTTTATTTAAATTTTTCGGACCAAATTGAAAACTAATGAACTTGGGCGGGAAGCCTCGCAATTCTAGCTCCGCCCCCTTTCTCTGTCGCACACAAAGGTGGAGGAGGAGATATTAGCCCAGGCTGCTGGTGAAGCCCTGAGCCCATCTTGGATAAAGGTGAGGCCGGCTGAGCGGTGAAGACCTCAGTGGGGAAGGGACGGTGCTGTAGGCTCGAAGAGACTGATCAGTGAAGGTGGTTCTCCACTTGCTGCCTGCCAAACTGCAGATGTAGGAACATGGCAGCCCAGGTTGGATTAGGAATGGAAGGACTGTATTCTGGCCCCAAGTTCTCTACTTTCTGTGTCACAGTAGACAAATTTAACCACTCTGGGTATTTGTTTCTCTATAGAATGATTGTACTGTTAGCAAACACACCGTGTACAATTTGGCACGTTACAGGGTTCAATGTATGTTAATTTGTAAGAACAGCCCCATGAAGCAGGTACTGCCATCATCTATTTCTCAGATGAGGAAAAACAACAGATAAGTAACTTACCAAAGGTCACACAGCAAGAAATATGGTGAATGTAATTTAAGCAGCTAAACTCCAGAATCCATGCTGTCAGCAGTAGCTTAGATCGTAATCCCCACCTCCAAGAAAACGACGAGAAAGTGCAAAAGAAGTACTGGAACAGGCCTTTGCTTTTATCAGTCACTTTTGCGTGGTAGTATTCATTTATTCAAGTTTATTGTGCATTTACCATGGTTCTAGCGCTGTGCTTGATTCTTATCCCAAATAGGCCAGTTCCTGCCTCTGTTTTCCAGTAAGTTACATAACCTCTGGGTCTCCATATCTTTCATGTGCAAAATGGGAATAACTTGAAGATTGCAATGATAAATGTAAAGGTAGTTTAGCAGCTGTTAGTCACTCAATATTCTTTTTCCCGTTTTTCTTTTTATCTTTACCGATGTAGCAAAATAACATGAGATAATGTATGTGAAGATACAGTAATACAGTAGTAAAACATTTTTCTCCAGTAAAGTCAGTAAATCAATAGGGCTCTGACTTAATTTCTACTAATGATCTTCTGCCATCCTGTTGTATTATGGCATTAAAAAAACTTTAGTAATGCTTTTTAAACACCCTTTCTAGGTTTTAAAGAAATCTCTGTAATAGCAGACCAGTTCAAAGTGATCAGTAAAAGTTAACACCTTGCCTTCTCCTAATCTTCAACTATTTTACTAGCAAACAAGATGCCAAAGTTAGAGTTTTAAATGTTTTTCCTGCTGCCACCAAAACCCAACTGTATTTCCTAAATCATTTACCAACTAGTTAATTAACATTTTATTTAGTATCTATTTTTCACTATAGGCCAGTCATTGTATACTGGGATAGGAATGAAAAATCCTGAATAAGGCTCCCTGTCCTTAACTTTTAGTCATTGCTGCTGGCCCTGCAAATTGGTAGCGTTTTCATGAAGAAAAATTTAGTAATATCCGTCAAAATTAAAAATGCACATATCTTTACATCTGGAAATTCCACCTCTAGGAATTTATTATTTTTGAAAATAGGCAAAATGACATATGTGCAAGATTTTTCAGCAGCACAGTTTGTTATACAAAAGACTAGAAGCAATTTGAATGATCAACAATAAATTACAGTACATTGTTCTATCTGGTGGTAAAAACAAATAAGAAGGCACTTTTTCATTATAATTATTGTTTACCATGTGCCAGATAATGCACTGAAAAGCTCTTTACATACATTAAATCATTTAATTTTTATGACAACCTTATGACACAAATTACTATTATTATCCCTATTTTACAGATCATAACATGGGAGTTCAGAGAGATTTAGTAAATTGCCTGAACGTGTACAATTCATTAACACTGAAAACATGTTTCAAAACAAGAGTCTAGCATCAAAATCCATATTTGTAACCACTGTATACTATACAGCTTTTCCAGGTACTGATATGTGATGATCCCCAGGATTTATTGTGAAGTGCAAAAAACAAGGTGCAGGATAGTGTGCAGTAGAATTGTGTATGTGTATGTATAGACATGTGTGTGTGTGTGTGTGTGTGTATATAAAGATATAAAATATATATACTCACACACATATGTATACTTATATTTTGGTTAGGTATGTCACACATTTATGACATACTTAACCAAAAATTTTCCAATATATTTATTGAACAAAATCTGCATGTAAGTGGACCCATGCAGTTCAAACCCATGTTGTTCAAGTGTTTGCTGTACTATGCCAATAAACTATATTTAAGGAACTTAAGCATCTGAGGATTTGAGTATCCGTGGCTTCCTGGAACCAATCCTTCCCCCTCCCCCCACCCCAGGACACCAAGGAAAAGCTATACTGTTATTCCGTTTGGGAACTAGTAGAGGAATCTTAACAAGTATTTATTACCAGTTAAAAAGAGATGTCAAATACAACATTGTTACCATCACAGCATATGACCAAATAAGCCAATGGATAAGAATTACACAGTGCACAGACATATATCTATGGAATATACAACAATGTCAAATGTTGGGATATTTTAAGAGACCCCTTACAAGGCAAGTGACACCCCATGTTTATACGAGTATTAACTTAGAACAAACAACTTGGTGGCAGTTTTAAATACTGGCACCACCATGGTCTGAATGTTTGTGTACCCCCAAAATTCATATGTGGAAACCTAATTCCCAGTGTGGTGGTATTAAGATGTGGGACTTTTGGGAGTTGAACATTTCAGGAGGGCAGAGCTCTCATGGGATAGTGCCCTTATAAAAGAGGAAGATTGTCCACCTCTTCTACCATTTAAGGATACATAAAGAAGACACCATCTGTAAAGCAGAGAGCAGCTCTCACCAGACACTGAATATGCTGGTTCCTTGATCTTGGACTTCCCATCCTCTAGAACTGTAAGCAATAAATATCTGTTGTTTATAAGACACCTAGTTTAGGGTATTTTGTTATATCAGCCCAAATGGACTAAGATTCACAGAACTCCATATTGTGCAGGAGACAGAGAATTGAACACATCAGATTACATTATTTGATATCTTTTGTGAAGGAGAATTGTAACTTTGTAACTTCCAAGGAGAGGAACCCTGTCCTTAGATTTTTTGCCAAACATCTTGTTAATTATAGATTTTCATTTTTAAGGCTAGGTTCTGAAATTTTATTAGTGAATCTTACAAGAAAGAGTAGGCCTGTATGTATATTTTACATAAAAAAATAGAAAAATTGCTGAAGATTTTATTTCATAACAAAAGCATAGTGTTATAGAGAGGGCATGAGGGCCCTTCAACAGAGCTTTATCTTCCACCTTCAAAGAGATTCTTCTCTCAGATGTATATATAGGCTTATTGTCAAGAATAAGGGTATCTTTGTTTTTTGTTATTTTCATGTGTTTAGTGCAGTCCATTTTTCAACTTCTTTCATGCAAGTTTTTTTTTAAATTGGTTTCTTTCATTATAACCTCATTGAAGACACTATTCTTCAATCTGTCTCAAAAGATATATGTAAGATATTAGCTATAGCTAAATAATCCATAGAATTTAAGACTGGAAACCTTTAAGCAATGTCTTAGTTAGTTTGTGCTGGTGAAACAGGATACCTGAGACTGAGTAATTTATATACAACAGAAATTTATTTTCTCACAGTTCTGGAGGCTGTGAGTACAAGGTCAAGGCACAGGCAGGTTCAGTGTCCGGTGAAGGCCCTGTCTCTGCTTCCAGAATGGGCCCTTGAATTCTTCATCCTTGGAGGGTAGAAGGGAGGAACGCTGTGTCCTCACATGGCAGAAGGCTGAAGGGCAAAAATTGCAAACTTCCTCCTTCCGTTAAGCCCTTTTATAATGGCATTAGTCCATTCATGAGGGCAGAGACCTCATCATTTCAACACCTCCCAAAAGGCCTTACCTCCCAACACTATTGCATTGGGAGTTAACTTTCCAACACATAAATTTTAGGGAACACATTCAGCCCATAGCAATCAAGGTCCTGCAAACCTGACATTCTATCCTAGCCTGTCTTCCTCTGCAATGTTTCTATGAGCCTCAGTTGTTATAAATTGGATGTAGTAATGGAATGCTTCAAGCAGGGATTTTATTAGGAAGCTTGCATCTGAGGAATATATTCATGATACAAAATTTACAAGAGATATTAGTGAAACTAGAATTTACTGTATTAATTGTAGCAGAAGATATGCCTGGCCTGAGAACTGACCACAAGTTATTGATTGATCAGAAATTGCTTTAGTGAGCAAAGAATCAAAGTAAGGGGCTGCCCAGTTAACTCAGCCTTATAAGACTAAGATCAAGAGTACAGTTCCCTGTTCCTGCCAGCTGCCAAAAGAAAAGAAAGAAAGAAAGAAAGAAAGAAAGAAAGAAAGAAAGAAAGAAAGAAAGAAAGAAAGAAAGAAAGAAAGAAAGAAAGAAAGAAAGAAAAAGAAAGAACCGAACCGAAGTAAAGGAAGTAGCCTGATTATGAAGGAACATTTTCATAATTCTGTAATGGAATTATAACTTGTCTCTCTTTACTATTGGCATAATCATATTTTAAACAGCCACACTGGCAATCTAGCATGAATTAATTGTCTTTCTGTGGATGTTTTTGGGGTATTGCTCAACAATCACACTTTTGTTTTCTTTGTCCAGATTCCAAGCATGCCAACTACATTCTCATGCATACATCTGTCATTAAATTGTTGGAATTTCACTTTATTTTACATGATTTTAGATTTGGCTGAATGGTTTCTTAATATCCGAGAAACATAAGAAGCTTGGAAAAGTTTCAAAAGAATCTCATCTATTTTATTTTTGCTCATGTTGACCAGGTTCTACTTCTGTACCCTTTCTTCTAATTCTGGGAAAGAACACTCTTTGAGGTCTATCATACTGAATTCCTGGATAACATCCGCAGAAGATGCACTCAAAATATTGGAGAGAGAAGTTGGCACAGTTCAGACTC